TTACGAAGTTCAGATCAGAAAATATATGTATTTGGCATGTAAATAAAGATTTGAATTCGATATACTCGAATTGGTTTTGTAAAATCATATGATACTAATTTATGTAAATTAGTCAATTAAAATTATTCACTATTTTGTTCAAGTAAAGGTTTTGAAAAATCAATGTGACATCTCGGACTCGTAGCCGGGTCGGGTACGGGTTAGGGGTGTTACATTTAACCTGCATACCGAGTTTTTCTTACCTGCCTCTATGAAGCCTTTTGGCTGCCTCATATAGATTTTTTCTCCAAATCACCATGAAGGAAAACTATCTTTACATCTAACTGCTCAAGATGTAGATTCTCTGCAGCTACAATTTTCAACACCAATCTGATTGTAGACAGCTTCACGACTGGAGAGAAAATTTCATTGTAGTCAATATCTTCTTTTTACTAAAAACTTTTGACAACTAATCTTGCTTTGTAGCGTTTTCTCTCATCGTGCTTTTCTTTGATCCTGTAAATCCACTTGTTATGGAGAGCTTTCTTATCTGGTGGTAATTCAGTTAATTTTCACGTCTGATTTGATATAAGCTGGTCTATCTCATCTTTCATGGAAGACTCCCACTTAACTGAATCCTCCACCTTTATTGCTTCATCATAGCACTCTGGTTCACTATTGTCAATCAGTAACAAGTAGTACAAAGAAGGTGAATAACGTTGGGTTGGTTTAGGAACTCTGGAGGAGCGTCTCAGTTCTGGTGTGCCCGGTTCTTCTTGAACTACTTCAGGACTGTTCTGAACATCATTTCTAGAAATATCCTCAAACTCAGCAAATTCCTTTGTTTTAGTTTCAGTATTGGAACTACTTGATTCTATGGTTGACATGTCTTTGTACATCACATTCTCATTGAAAATGACATCTCTGCTTCTGATGATCATTCGATTTTCGTAGTCTCAAAACTGATAACTAAATTCATCACCACCATAACCAACAAAGACACATTTGTTGGATTTAGCATCAAGTTTACTTCTTTCAGCAGAATTTATGTGTACATAAGAAATACAACCAAACACTCTTAAGTGTGAAAGGTTTATTTCCTTTCTGCTCCAAACTTCCTTTGATATTCCACCATCCAAGGGAATTGAGGGCCCACAGTTGATCAAGTAAGCTGCAGTGTTGATATCTTCAGCCCATAGCAATTTGGGCAAGCCAACATATATCCTCATGCTTCTGGCACATTCATTCAGAGTTCTGTTCATGCGCTCTGCTACGTCATTCTGCTACGGTGTCATGGGAACTGTTGTCTCTATCTTAATCCCATTGTTTGCATATAAATCTCTGAATCTACTATTTTTGTACTCTCCTCCATTATCAGACTTCAACCGCTTGACTTTCAAACCAGTCTCATTTTCTACCATGGCATTCCATTTTCTAAAGGTATCAAAGACTTCTGATTTATTCTTCAGAAAATAAACCCACACCTTCCTTGTAGAATCATCGATGAATGTGACATAATATAGTGAGCCTGCAAAGGATGTAACTTGATATGGTCCCCATACATCAGTATAAACCAACTCTAACTTTTCTACCTTGGGTGTCTTGCCAATCTTTGCAAAACTGAATTTCTTTTGTTTGCCAAAGATGTAATCCTCATATAGTCCGACATCTATATTCTTTAGTTTCGGCAGCTTCCCTTTTGACAAAAGTGTCTTCATCCCTTTCTCACTCATATGGTCAAGCCTTTGGTGCCATAGGTTTGATTTTCCATCAGCATCTGCTACTGCAATGATATTCTCTAAATTTGAGGTTACATAGAGAGTATCAGTCTTCTTACCACGAGCAATGATAGGTGCTCTTTTGGTAATCTTCCATTCACAGCCTGAAAAGGTTGTACTATATCCTTCTACATCTAGCTGCCCTACAGAAATCAAATTTCTTTTGAGGTCAGGAATATGTCTCACTCCTTTCAGCTTCAAGGTGGTTTGGTTTGGCAACTTTAATTGGATGCCTCCTTTTCCGATGATCTTCAAGGTTTCATCATCAGCTAGATGAACCTTTCCAAAATCACAATTGACATAGTTCTCTATGATTTCTTGGCATGGGGTGGAGTGGAAATATGCCCCTAAATCCAAGATCCATGATTCAATCGAACTGTTGACGCTTAAAATCATTGCATCACCTGTCTCCTCTGTCATGTTAGCAGATTCCTGTGCGCATATATCTTTCTTCGGTGCTCGACAATCTCTTTTAAAGTGACACTTCTTGCCACAATTATAACAGTTAACATCTTTCTTTCACGTTCTTGATTTTCCCCTTCTGGATTTCGATCTGCCACGATTTGAATTTTTTTCTAAAGTTCTCCCTCTAGACTCCGTGTGCAAGGTTGAGGAGCTTGATGATTCACCCGATTATCTCCGTCGAATTTCTTCACTCAAAGCCACATCCCGAACATCATCGAATTTCAATTTACTATTTCCCTACGAGCTGCTGACTGCTGTAACAATATCATTCCAACTGTCTGGTAGAGATGATAAGAGAATTAAAGCTCGAACTTCATCATCGAATTTAATTTCCACGAAACTCAACTGGTTGTGATTGTGTTGAGTTCATTTAGGTGTTGAGCTACTAATGTCCATTATGCCATCCGCAAATTGAATAATCGCCTCATCAAGTGAACTTTGTTTGAGATTGATGGTTTCTCATACATACTGAAGAGAGCTGTTGTAAGACCCGCCGTGGTATTTTCCTTTGCTATGTTGAAAGTAACTTTGCGGGATAACGTCAGTCGGATAACTTCGAGGGCTTGTATGTCGAGAAGAGCCCAGTCTTCATTCTTCATTCTTCATTCTTCATTCTTCATTCTTCATTCTTCATTCTTCATGCCCTCTGGTTGCTTTCCTAAGAGATGTTGATATAGATTTTTCTGGTACAGAAAATCTTCAATTTGCATCTTCCAAAAGCCAAATTCCGCACCATCGAACTTCTCGATTTTCACCTTCCCTTCGCCTGTAGTTATCCCTCCCACTCAAATCTGGCTTCTTTTTGATCGTTTCTGACAATTCCTACGAACCACCGTGTATTAGAACACCTCCGTCGACAAATTCGTATCGCCGACCAAATTTTACTATTCACGAAATCTACTATTCACTTGAATAGTAACATCACAGAAAATCGACAAAATTAACCACCAAAAGCTATGATTCTAGTTGTTGGGAAATAAAACGAGTAATTTTCCTATAACCAGATTAGTGAAAATGCGAAATAAAAGTGAAAAAATAATACCCAAAATTGATAACAGAGTTCAGCCAATTATACCTACATCTCCGGACTACTGCAGATATTTTACTAAAGAGAGAAAATTTATAATTGCTTACAAAACACTCACAACTCATAAGAAAACTCTATAAACTCTTTAGTAGTGGGAGAAATAAATGATTTTGGATGATTTTGAAACTAAATGTGTTAGAGTATTTATAGTTGAAGCTTAAGGATTAATATTAAAAATACCCTAAAGTGCAGGGATTAAAGTGCAGTTATCCCATGCAGGAAATTCAACAATTTCTGCCCATTTACACCAAAAGTTTCTCTGTTAACAACCCACCGAAAATTGCTTTGACAATTCAACAATTATTATTGATTTGACAACCCACCAAAATTGACTTTGTAACAATTTTTTTTATAAATGAGTTTAACCAATTATGTCTGTGTCTCTGGACTGTTACAGATTTTTTACTAAATAGAGAAAATTTACAGGTGTTTATAAAACACTTATAACTTACAAGAAAACTCTCTAAACTCTTTAGTAGTGGGAGTAAAAAATTATTTTGGATGATTTTGGAGCTAAATAAATTAGGGTATTTATAATTAAAGCTTAATTACTAATCTTAAAAATACCCTAAAATACAGAGACTAAAATATAATTATCTCACACATAAAATTCAACAATTTTTACCTACTTGCACCGAAAAATTCTCTGAGCAACCCACTAAAAATCAGAGTTTTGAAAATCGGATCGGATCGGCCGGTTCAACCGGGAACCGTTGCCTAGTTCGGTTCAATCTAAACCGGTTGAACCGCTACTAGTGAACCGGCCGAAACCGCTGAACCGTTCAAACCGGACTGACTGAAAACCGAAAAAACCGAAAAAACAGCCAATTTTGTTTTTTTTTTAAAAATTAAACCAAACGACATCGTTTGTTAAACGAGCCAAGTCGAACTCGAGTATTGCTGAGCTCGACTCGAGCTTGAAAACTTTAAAAGTAAGCTCAACTATACTCAAACCCACAAGCTAAAAATTATCAAGTTAAACTCGAATTCGAAATATAATATTGAAACTTGAACTCGAAAAGGCTTGAACTCAAAAAAAATTAGAAGCTCGATTGAAGCCTAAAGTTCGAGCTTGATTGAAGTGAAAGAATAGTTCACTCAATGCTCACCAAAAGGTTCTATGATTTTGAATACCAAATTAACTCTATTATTTATAGAAGTTAATTGGGATGATCTTCTATATTTCTTAGCCATGTGAGATTGTTTTTAAAAAAAAATTAAACCAAACAATATCATTTTATTATGATTTTTTTAGTCCCAAATTTATTTTTTAATTATAGTTATATAATTATATTTATTATTTAATATGTTTTACCTTAAATATTATGTTGTAGTTAATTTGAATCATTTTGTTTTACTTGATTTTATGATTTTTAACTTATATATGTTATGATTTGCTTTGAATATGAATTGTGATATAAAAAATTATTTTTTATTAAATATTTTTGGTATTTTTATTTAATTTTTTAAATAATTATAACATCGTCCGGTTCTTCGACCGATCGAATCAATTCAACCGGTTGAACCAGTAAACCGATAGCATAATCGATTCACTAACCGATCCGATTTTAAAAACCATGCTAAAAATTGATTTGACAATTCAACAATTATTATTTCTTCCAAAATTGACTTTGCAACATAATGATATATTGATATTTGGTTCAATTTATTAATAGAACTGCCTTTCCAGTTTATCCCCAAACGAAAGCAAAGGGAAGGGGACACCGACAGAGTTCAGTGAGCTTTTCAACCTTCAAGCATGAACCCATCATCATCATCATCAATGATTAGTAGATTCCAAGTCATCACTGGTTGTTTAGCTGAGAGGAGTTCACCTGCAAAGACACTTAGACAGATTCTGGAATCGCCTGGGGTTCACCAAGGCCCTGCTTGTTTTGATGGTCTCAGTGCTAAGCTCGTTGAAAGAGCTGGCTTTCAGTATTGTTTCACCAGTGGTACTTTTGCTTTTCCATTTTTTTATTTTCTCTCACTGATATAAGAATTTCAAGATGTGGGCTTTCTTCAGCTGGAATATTTGGATCTAAAAACTTCGATCTTTTCTGTTTACCGATCAGTAATTTGCTGGTGTTTGTGATTTGGATTTCTTCTATTTTGATGGTTTATGCAGTTTTGCCTTCGAGTTTATAATCCCAAGACTTGTTCTTTGTTTATAGTTTGATATTTGAGCTGCCATGGTTAAGGGGTTCTTTAAAGTTGGATTTTTCTTCTTCGATTTGTTCTTGCAGTTCCATTAATTACATTTTTTTATTTTATCCCTAAAGTTTGATGCGTTTCCATTTTCCAGTATCAAAATTTGAAATTTGTATATTATTACACAAATGCATCTGCTTAAACGATTTTTGCCATCTTATTGCTCAATTGTTTTGAGATGATTTGTTCATTAACATCCTTTGCTTCCATGGTTAGGATTTTCCATTTCTGCTGCTCGCCTGGGATTGCCGGACACAGGATTTATTTCCTATGGGGAAATGGTTGATCAAGGCCAACAAATCACCCAAGCCGTGTCGATTCCCGTCATTGGAGATGGTGATAATGGATATGGAAATGCGATGAATGTGAAGAGAACTGTTAAAGGATATATTAGAGCTGGCTTCGCAGGGATCATTCTCGAAGATCAGGTTTATGTTCTAAGAAAAAAAATCAGCTTTTCAAATATTTTTGTTTCTGTATTGACTTTACACGAGCACTGCAGTGCCACAAACAATGTTTATGGTGCTCTTAAGAAGTTCTCGATGTAGTCTTTGAATTGCTTATTTGGTTTCATTCGTAACTTGAGGCTCAGTATTTTTAATTCTTAGGTGTCTCCGAAAGCTTGTGGTCATACACAAGGCAGGAAAGTGGTGTCCAGAGAGGAAGCCATTATGAGAATTACAGCAGCAGTTGACGCTCGCAAAGAGAGTGGTTCAGACATTGTTATTGTGGCACGAACAGATTCTCGTCAAGCACTATCTTTAGAGGAGTCACTCTGGAGATCAAGGGCTTTTGCCGATGCCGGAGCAGATGTCCTTTTTATTGATGCACTAGCTTCTAAAGAAGAGATGAAAGCTTTTTGTGAAGTTTCTCCGTTAGTTCCAAAATTGGTATCGTTTGTTCTTTTGAAACTATACAAAGTACATGGCATAATTTTCCTATATATACACAGTTAATTGCGCGATAAATAGAACGCTTAGGAAACATAACTTTACCCAGAGGTATTTCTTTTGTTGCTTAAATGCTCAGCATCTCAGTAGGCTTTCTGATATGTATTTTGAGGGTATTTGTCTCTAGCATGGGACCGGCCGTATAGAACTGCTTGTATTCAATCTCATTCCCAAATTTGCGATGACATACACTTGTCCTTCTCGAATAATTCTCCATCTCCTATGACTGATGCAGCTTTTGCACTCCTATGTAGGCTAACATGCTTGAAGGTGGGGGGAAAACACCAATACTCACTCCGCTTGAACTCGAAGAAATTGGATATAAACTTGTCGTATATCCGCTTTCCTTGATTGGAGTATCTATCCAAGCAATGCAGGTTATGTATCTTCACTTTGTTCATGCATACAAAAGCTCACTTAAACTTGCTTAACATCTGTAGTCTTACATCTTCAGTACAAAAGTTCATTTGTGTTATGAGAGAGGGATGTGTGAAAACTAGTATGTCGCTTAATGAAAAGCTAAAGCTCTGAACCTTTTTATGATGCCCAGAATACAGATGTTTAGTGACACTTTGTTCTTTCGTGAGTCAATTCTTAATACAATGTCGCTTCTCAAAGGCCAACCTCTACATATTTGCAGGACTCACTGACCGCCCTCAAAGGCGGCCGTATTCCGCCCCCAGGAAGGATGCCATCTTTTGAAGAAATCAAGGAAATCGTAGGTTTCAATAAATACTATGAGGAAGAAAAAAGATATGCTACCAGCAACTATCAGCTATATGGAGACAGAGGTGGGTGAGATTTAGTACTCTAAGGTCCAAACTGAACTTAAACCTTTGTTAGTCGGACTCAGATTGAGTGTCGGTTATGGGGTATGTGCCCGACACAAGAGTTTTCAATTTTTGTTCCATATATTTGGAGGGTCTCTGGTGGGTCATACCCCTAAAGCCATGTTTGGATATCGGAATTTTTGTATTTGTCCTACCTTCTTGTTGCTATGAGTTGTATGGCATTGCCAACTCGGACTCCCAAATTAAACCCATAGTCTTTCTCGAGAATAATGACTTTTGTTGCCTTGTCTTCCTAATCCTATAATCATGGTTTATGTTCAGTGAGCAGTAATGCATACAGTATAGAAAGGGTTCAAGATGACTCAGAACAAAGAGATCAAAGTCCTCAAGATCCAGTTGTCGAGGTGATGACTCCTGATGTATACAGTAACTATCGTGCAGATGGTTCAAGGGATCCTTTTTCTGGGATCTGGTCTCGAACGTTGAGAATCAAGATTACTGGAAGAGACGGAATCGAGAAACTTGACATTAGAGTTCCTGTAAGTCTTCTGCTTCAAGCAAAGGTGCCTTATTAATTAGGTAGCTTATCATTTTGTTAACATGGCCGTACGCCAATCCTAATTTACAGCAAGTGCTTTTTTCTATTTTCGAAATTCATCTGGGACATCTAAATTCCAATATGGATTAGATAGTATGATCCGGCAGGTTGGTTCACTTGAAAACTTTAGCGAAAGTCCATTTCAAGGATATTCTTCTACCAATTAAAAATTTTGATTATGAAAGATTATGTTACTTGGATTTGGATGTGGGGTTTGGACATGATTATAGAGATATTATTCTCCAAAAACCTCAAGAATCTTGGAAATAGTCGAATAACTTGTGTCTGACCTATGAAAGTCCGACATGTACACCCAAGTGGATATGGTCTTTAATCTTTTCCTTCTGCAGCAGTGCCTTCGGTCTTTGATGGTACATTTTAGCAATAAACTTTTGTACAATCAGTTTTACAACTTTTCATATTTTGTGTTCACATATATTCTCTGCGTCCAATAAAAATGTAGTCGTGTTTTTTTATCGAAATGACTTACCTTTTTGGTTTTTCCACAGGCCGGGCTTTTAGAAGGGGTAACAAAGATCGTTCCAGGTATGTTTTTGTTTTACAAACTTGACTCACCATTAGCATGTTTCTTGAAAAAGAAGTTACAGCAAAGAGTTTGATTTCTGTTCTCAACAGCTTTGGGGGGCATAAATATCAGGGCACTGTTGGACGATGCTGCTGAGGAAGCTGGGGGGAAACTGCTGTTGGATTTTAACGATACTATGGGTGACAGAATTCAAGTCTTTCTTGAATGAAAACCCATTGTAATCAAGCTTTTCAAGAGTAGAAGGTACATGTTAACCTTATTCGATGTTTGCATTAATGATTTGTTAAGCCTGAAATGGAGAAGTTAGTTCTTTATTGAACCTTTCTCTGATCTTTAATGGCTTATTTAGGTCTGAAATCAAAATTGCTAGTTCTAAATCAGAACTTCATTATTATGTTGATCTGCTGAAGCTGCATGACCGGCTGGTAAATGCAAATATAAAATGGTAAGAAAATGATAAAGAAACTAGACATGAGATTACAATAATCATGTTCTGCATTAGGATCTGCATGAGATTTCCAGAGCTATGTATGTTACTTGGACTCGGGTGTGAGTATAGGATACAAATGTGTCCGACATGGATAATAATTCATTTACTCAACTTGGATACAAATATAAGAGACTATTAACTCAACTTGGATACAAATATAACACTCTTTAGATATACAAGGATACTTCTGACACATTCGAGTATGAAATTTATCTCCTTGCCAATTCAGTGTTCCGGTTTCGATGTTCCTGTATCTGGAAATATTTTACCTTTATTATGTTTTGAACTGAACCGAGGGCTTAAACGTGTTGGTTCATGCAACAATCACCTTTAATAATGGCATCCACCACAAACTTGTGCTGTTGACATTCTAACTTTTTCTTTCACAGGTGGTTTTTGGTTATATCGGGAAATTGTTGATGGATCGCAGATGTGGCAAGCCGAAAGCTAGCAGATTCATACCATAGTTTTAAACTTCCTTAGAACCCCTAAGTTTTGAAGAACAGTGTGGACCAAATATGAACTGATCAAACTTGTAATTTGATATCGAACGAGTATGAAGTTCGGATTTCTGTCTTTTAACTCATTTTATAACGTCACAAGGGAACCTGTTATGAACAGATCTCAGAATAAGTCTACTCATTTTTTCTTTATCAACAGACAGGTAACTGAAATTATCCAACTAGAAAACATAAACACCAAGCAAAACTGATCTAAATTTTACAATAAACACATTAATATTTAACGAAATTCAAGCGCTTGATGTTCTTTACGTGCACTTTCTTACACATTAATCTACTGTGCACTTAATAAGGAATAAGTATTACAACTGCAACAAGCTAGCCGACAATAAGACGGCTTATGAAAAACTTTGTTATTACTTGCAACCACTCAACTATATAACATTGAGGACACAATTTGAATGAATCGGTGTTTGAAGCTGGAGAGGCTGGTGCATATGATTTAAATCTTTGCGACCATTTTTGTCTGAATTAGTTTACAAACAGGCAACTGTATGTGAAACGAGTAAACCTGGTCGAATTCTCAACCAGGAGGAGTGCCTTCTCCTTTGGCTCGATGGCCCGATGAACCTTCGACTGAAGATAGAAGCTGCCGACCTTGGCATTCTTCTCAAATAAATGATCGTACTTCTGCAATAGAGTTGATGAAGAAGTCTTAAAGGTTATAATAAAGTAGATGAAGAAGTCTTAAAGGTTATCCATGATGAAAGCAATGGACAGGGGAAAAAAAGATGCTCGAAGTACTAGCCTTGATTATCTCCTCCCAAGTGGAATTCTCGCTTACACCGAGAATCTGCCTAGCTTCTTGCTCTGCCATGACTTTACCAGCTCTACGGGCAGCGTTTTGTAGTGTCTCGTGAGTAACACCAGATTTAGCTGCATTTGTGATAAACTTATTGTTCAGAAGATCGATACATATGAAAACACAAGAACTGCCACTATATAAATATTACTAATCGTTTCTTTGTCACTCAAGTAAAAGCACATCACTGCTTTTGGAGCTAAACCAACCTTTTTCATGAAGATTTCTTTTTCTTTTTTTTGATCAATCTTGTTTATTCATCCAAAGAAACCTCAGGTCAAATAAACATTACAACCAACACAAAAACAAAACCTAAAACTTCACCCACAATATCAAATCCACAAGCCAACAAAATAAAGTCTCAAGTTAACACCCCCCAATTCAGTAGGTAAAAAAGAATTAAGACTAAATTAGAAAATCGGGTATATACATTTTTGGTGAGCAAAATGTGATATCTGCTTCTTAGCAAACAACATATATATATATATATATATATGTCAAAATGGAGAATAAGAACAAGTTTAGTTCATCAAGTAAATTCCCAGATATGTGATGTCTCCTCTGGTGATCATATCACACAATTGTACTAATTTTAAGATAATATCTATCTTCATAACAATCAATAAAAACAAGCTCTTATTTTCCAAGCAACATAGAAAAATGAAATAACGATCGTGCAATAAAGAACTAACTTGCTAGTGCTTGACAGTATGTGTTGGGATATTCGAAGCTCAATTTGGATAATCGAAAATTGTACAATGGGGTGAATTGGCAAAAATTGTTTAGGGAGTAAGGAAAATAAAAGATAGGAAACTTTGCACAGCGATTTATAGTGGTTCGACTTCTCAACTAAGTCTACCTCCATTACCTAAGCTCCTCACTAAGGATTTTCCAACAAATTCACTAATTTGTTCTTTTTTTTCAAGGACAAAGAGATAACATTTACAATACTTCCTAATTTTTCAAATGCTCAGCTAGAAACAAACCCCTTTATAAGGAAAAGATATGTAAACAAAGAAAACCTCTAAGGGTGTGCTTGGTTGGGGGAATGTGAGATTCTCATAGGAATGTAATCCACATTCCTCCGTTTGGTTAGCCGGGAATGTCATTCCCGGTAATCTTACATTACCAATAGTGAATTTTTTGGGATATATTACCGGGAATGTCATTACCTCCCTTCCTTTAGGTATTGTTAGATTACCGGTGTTTTGGACTAAAATGCGCTTAATTTTTTTTCTTTAAAAAATATCCTTATTCTGTCATTGAATAATAAAAATTCTACGAAGATTAAATTACAAATTTATCCTTAAACTATTTTAGATTTACAAAAAAAGTCTATAATTAAAATTTTGTATGAAGTTCAGGGGTTAAAATAAAATTTTATCCTTTCATGAAACCTTTTTTATATTTTCAATTTTGTAAAAAAATTATATAAATTTTATGAATTTAATTTTTTAAAGAAAATATATAAATATTTTCCAACTTGTTAAAAAACAAATATATAATAAGGACAATTTGGTCAAATATACATTCCAATAATCTTTTATTCCTTTAACCAAATACGATAATCTTATATTTCTGCTAAACCAACCAAACACAAAATACAACATTCCCAATAATCCTATTCCCACTGGTAATCTTACATTCTGTGAACCAAAAACACCATAAAAGGTATGGTGTTTACAAGAATTTAGCTCACAAGAACAAAATATTTACAAGAGAATAAGAATAAAGAGTGAAAAGTTTTTTTCTTGTGTTTGATTGTTTGGATAAGTGTTCTAACCCTTCTTCAAGTGTCTCGAACTTGTATTTATAAGTTGAAATGTGTTTGTAGCCGTTGGAAATTATTTGGAGCCGTTGGGGATGCTTTTCTTTATAAAATAAAACTACCCAGTACAGAGGGTATCGATACTCCTATAAGGAGTATCGGAACTACCTTTGTTATTTTTAAATAAAACTAGCCGTTGGGTCTAACGGTATCGATACTACTATGTAAAGTATTATCGGTACCCCTTTGGGTATCGGTATCATTTTTACATTCTGGAATTTGAGCAATGCTGGTAGTATCGATATTTCTTTTACCTTTGGTATCGGTACTTCTTGTCTAGAAAAATATTTTGTGCTCAATTCCAAATTAAATAAACTTTGAATAAATTCAATTCAAGTCCAAAAATATTTTGCCTTAAATTGTTATATCAAAACATTGTAAAAAGTGGTTCAACATTATGCCTAAACAACAGCCTGAGCCAATATACCTGAGCGCATTACAATTCAGTTGGCAAGAATCTTGGCAGCCTGCATAAAAGCATATACGGATAAGTGAAAGATAATGATAATATCATCACAGCAAAAGAGTATAACAATAATATATATATATAAAAGAATTTTACACTCTTCCATGGCTACAATCTCTATCTTTGATATATATTATTATCAGCAAGATGACAGTATTCCAAATCCTAGAATTTTTAAAATCGGAATCAAACAAAAGGGAAATGAACTGTAAACTTCACAAATCTCACAAACCTTTTAATGTTATCTACAATCATAAAACTGATAAGAACTATAAAGTTAATGGTATGGACTTAGACTCATTTCCTTCAAATCTATCATAACCAAATATATGCTAAAGAAACCAATATTCAATAATCCAAAAACCGAGCTTCAATAAAGTTAAAACCATTCTTAATGTAACTCAACACGAAAAGTAAGACCTAAAGGAATGATCATACAAATTTAGATTCACTTCCCCCAAGATATCACAACCAAAAACATGCTAAAGAAATCATGATTCAATAAACAAAAAGAAAGCTGAGAATTCCTACAATAAACCGTTGTAACAGAAACATTTAATCCCTGTAACATCAAAATTGAGATAAAACGATTAAGAAATAGAAGTACCGAACCATGATGCAACTTAAACCATCTTCATCAAACTATTCAGATTTTAATTTCAACGAGAACAATAATCCAAAATCCTTTAAAATTACATTAGCCGCTTGAAAAAAAAAATCAAAACCCAATTTATATCTGTCCTAAAAGAGAGTATGATGAGTTGAATCAGATCAAGTTAACCTAAAATTTAAAAGATTATCTAAAGTTATGTAAAAAGTATTAACCAATATGCCGTTACCGATTCACAAGCAATCGAAACCATCAAAATCAGAATTAAGAAAAGTAAAATTTTTAACATTTTTTTAATTAAAATAAAAAACCCAACTTATATCGGTACTTAAGCTGGTTTTTTTGTTACTTAACTCTCTATTGATTGATGGGTTGTTAGTTTTGTAGCAGTTTTACTGCTTCAATGGATAATAAAAATCACTGATTATCCAAAAAAAATCCCCAGTTTTAATTCAATTTTAATAATGATTCATCGTAATAAATAAAAACTCATGCAACTGAATTGAGAAAATAAATTAGAGACACGGGTAAAGAAAGAACGTACCATGGCGGATCAGAATTCGATTTAGTCAATGATTTAGATGACAAAAGACGTTATTCCTTTTCGCCCCAAGAAGAAGCAAGATGAAATTTTCGATTTGATTGAAACAAAATCTAAAATGAAAAACGGAGCTGAGGAAGTTCGAGAAAAGGGAGGGAAAAAGAAAAGAAAAGAAAAGAATTTACTGTTTTTAAACAGTTTATATTTTAGGGTAAATTATATATTTAGTCACCAGACTATTTTCAAAGTTCCGTTTTGATCATCTGACTATTTCTTTTCAAAATCATATCGCCATTAAAAAGATAGAACTGTTAACCATAATGTTACCTATTCAATAAAATTAGTTATTATTATCAAGCTTAAAAAATAATATAATATGTGAAAAAATAAAAAATTACCACGTCAACAACTCTTTTCTTAAACGAAAAGATAACTAAAGCGGAATCAAAACGTAATATTAGTGATGATTTTAAAAGAAAAAAACAAATAGTTTGCTTGTATCTTTGTGATTATCATTGTTATTCTGGCATGGTTTCGTCCTTTGAACCCAAAAAATTTTCTTGTGTAAAATTGAAATATCTAGCTTGAGTTTGTTTTGTAAAGATTGTTGACTAAGAAGGTTTATTCTCACATTGATATTAGTGATTATTGGTTCTCTCGTGTCGCAGTGATTATCGTTGTTATTCTGCCATTGCTTCCTTGTTTGATCTTAATACATTTTCGAGAAGCTAGAACTCATTCTATCGACCAACTGAAGAAATTCAAGCTTTAGAGAAAACATGCACTTGGTATTTTGTTGATTTTCGTCCACTAATATGTCTTTTTTGTTTGCTGTAAGGTTCAAAATTAAAACTCATTTTAATAGTTCAGACTTCGGACGCCATTTTGAAATACAAATAGCACCAAGGAATTTGTATTTCTTGAGTTGAATTTAGTGTACAAATGTACAATTTATACCTTAGTGAATCCATAAATTATGTACATAAAGAATAAAATCTCTAAATAAATACAAGAAACACTAAGGTGGCGTTTGGTTCGCTGGAATCCCTTTGAATTAGGGGGAATTGGAATCCAATTCCACCACTTTCCCATATTTGATTCAAGTTTTGAATTGGAATCTAATTCCATCAAGGGAAGGAAAATAAATTACATCCATAACATGATGGAATTGAAATCCTTTGGAAGAGGGAATGTGAAATTTGACCATACTACCATCATCAATCTTTTGGTATTCGGGTCGGATTTTTTTTTAAAATGGGATTGGGTCGGGTTTTTTTAAGTGTGATATTCGGGTCGGGTCGAGTTTTTTTAAGTTTGATATTCGGGTCGGGGTTTTTTTTTAAATTCGAGATCGGGTCAGATTTTTTTTAAAAAAATCGGGTTCTGGTTTAGGGTGAAAAATACCCGACCTGAAAAAAATATATAATTTTACCTTATATATTTAAGAATAATTACAATAATACCCCTCTATATATAATTTTTTTCAATTCACTATTTTTATTGAATAAAAATAATTTTTTATTATTTCGGGTCGGGTTTCTAATTCATATATTCGGGTCGGGTCGGATGAAACTTTATTTTGGTCGGATCGGGTCTCGGGTGGAGGTTCCCTTGTTCTCGGGGTCGGGTAGACCAAAAACCCGACCCAACCCAATCCATGGTCATCCCTAATTGTAATGATTTTATCTTATGATGTTTATTAGTGTGATTTTTATAATTTATTGAAATGAATAATCAATCAATAAAATAAATTTTTTTTTTAAATTTTTATAATATATTGCTACATGTAAGTTATAAAACAAACTAAAATTAAGCAAAAAAAAAACAAGAAGGTCAATTTTGTCATTTTATATTACTGCAATCAAATTCATCTGACATGTTTGCGAACCAAACAGAATATGGAATTAAATTCCAATTTAATTTCCTGCCAACCAAATAGGTTTCAGATTCAGATTCCAATTCGTACATATTCCAATTCCTTCACATATTTCAATTCTCTCAGAAACATTCCAGCAAACCAAACGCCACCTAAGATTAGCCAACTGAGTACTAGCTGGCATGCATGATGTTGACAAACCCCACAAGATTTATTTGAAATTCAACTTTTTATATATTCTCTAAATCTTTAGTAAGTTATTTTTGGAGGGTTGTAACACTAGAAATTTTGGCTTTAATTTGCAGAGGTTGGCTTGGGTCTTATTGGTTTTGGTATCTTCTTCACATTTCTTGGTGTAACTCTCTTCTTTGACAGGGGTCTGCTTGCTTTAGGAAATGTAAGGCTTTCTATAGAAACTAAAAATCTTTCTTATCCACATTATGCGACACAATATGATAATTCATTTATTTCCATATTCTAACTTTCTGACATTTTGCAACCAGATTCTGTGTTTAGCAGGGGGTCGTAGTTTTGATTGGTTGGTATTCCACTTTGCAACTTTTCAGAAAAAACTACAAGGTACTAAATGCAATATTGTGTTAATTCACTTCTCCCATTATACCCAAAGTTGTTTTGATTTCTTGATGTGTATCCATTGGAATAAATCATTCATAAAGGGACTAGTTACCTTCAGTAGCATGAGTACTATGTTTGGGGACATATGAAAATCCATGCCACATATGAACAATATACAGTCTTACTTTTTTGGATCAACCTATATGACTTTTGTGTTCCCTTAATATAAACGTACTTTTTCTTGGCTTTGATACACTATTTATGCTTGCTTTGTTATTTGTAAGAAGTTGCTTTATTTATTTTTATTCAGAAATGTTCTAAATATGTGGAAAAATTGAAACTATATAGTATTGATGGACACTTATGTAATTTTATCTCTTTCTCATTTCTTACACAGGGTTCTATTGGGGCTCTTTTTCTTATTTGTTCTTTGGCCAATAGTTGGCATAATCTTGGAAATATATGGTTGTCTTGGGCTTTTCGGGTTAGCTTTTTGTTTTGTTGTAAGCTTTGAATAAGATAACTTGCTTATGCTGCACCTAAACTTTTGTTCCATTTCCTTTTTTTTTTTAGTGGCTTTTGGCCTTCAGTCAGTGTGTTCCTCTGTCACATTCCGGTTGTTGGATGGGTTATACAGTATCCGGTCTCGGTACGTTGATAATCTTTTCTTGTTACCTCATTGTATTTTTTGTTTGCATGATGGCTTGAAAAAAATGCATTGCTTTCGGATTTTGTTTGTAAAGCGGAAATCATGTAAAATCCATTTGGTCCATTTCTGGTCCAGCAAACATCTCTAATTTATATTGAGCTGCCATGAAATTCTTTAATTCATTTTCTTCCTAATCAGAAGAATACTTAGATGGATTCGTGTTTACACATGCACGCACACGAGTTCAACATCATGAAGTTATCTGATCTGATTATTATGTGCTGGATACGTTTTCGATTTTTTATTGACTGCAGTTCCTCAATCGGTTGGGAAGAGGTTCGGATTGAATACATTAAAATGTACCTGATATTGTTTCTATCTAAGGTACTGTCTGTTCTATAGTTCACTGTGGCTTACATTTAGTTTCAGAAGCTTAAGATGCTTCAGTTCTGAATGATCAAAGCTTTTCGCTAGTGGTTTGTTAACACTTATAAGTGATATAAGTCGGTTGTTGCATATACTTGTTTCAGGCAGTTTGTATGCATTATTTTACGGTTTTTGAGTTTCATTATTGTTGTTATACTTACTTATAGTCTGAACACCATCTCTATAATTTGAGCTATCCAACTTGAATCATCCTTGACTTGAATTCATGTTAGGTTTGATGAAATTTTGAGAAAAAGATGAAAATTAAAGAAATTAAAAAAGAAGAAGGGAAAACCTTGTTGTGTTGCATGGAGGAAAGCACCATAGTACTATAGAATATGTTACTTCGACTCTTCACGTGAATACGGAGATATGATCCATCAGATATATGGAAAACTTGGAAAAATGAACATACACATGCCAGAAATATACTCGTGTCTTCATACCCAAGTCTGAATAACAGTGTTACATAACACACACAAAAAAGAAGCAATTCATTTTGAGTCCCAAAGAATTTCAAAAACACAATTATTTCAGGACTTCAAGTTATCATTTCATGGTTGTAGCATGATAATCAAGAAGCAGAAGTTTCAGATACATAAAATAAGTTGTTGAGTCTTGATTGAACCAAAAGCTTACATTTGTTTTAGCTGGAGTTGGAATCCTATCTTCACCCGAGGGCACGAACAGCACCCACCCAGCATCTATGTTTTCTGGGTTTTGAATCAAGTTTCTGTTCATTTTCACTATGTCACTTACATTAGTAGATAGCATAGAAGCAGTATCTGATAAAGTATCACCTTGCTGAACTGAATATGTCACCATGATTGAGAGTCATTTTCAACACACCCGCACAACAGATGCATAGGTACTTAATTTCCCAAGATAAATAACTTTTCTCCTCCGATATTCCACGCTTGTCCGCTGTATACCTGTGTCGAAACATTTATAAATGTATCTTTGGGTTGAACCGTGTAGGATGTGTCATAGAAGTATGCAATAGAGCCATATATACCCATGCAGGAACAGGGCACGGATGATACAAGGTAATCGTTTGTTTCCATGGTAAATGGGGCTGACCTGGGATGAGTTTATGTCGTAAAAGGTCAAGATATGTTGTTTGTCCAGTCCGTGATCTATGTGGTACAATGATGCACTACATGTCTTGATTCTCTTGGAGCAAGCAAACGGGTACACGTCCGATGATTCTCGGGATTTGCAGGCAAAACTTAAAGAAAGAAGAGCAGCCAAGAGAATAGGAGGGTCAGGTTCCAAGGTAGAGATGATGAGAAGCCATGATTTTGTTCATGGGAACTCCTCCAAAGTAGGATATAGAAATGGAAGAGCTTTCAGTAATGGCTATAGCAGCTGGATTTTCGGACATTTTACTTCGGTTAAAGGAGGCCGAAGAAGGAAAGGAGAAACCTTTTTCCATATCGAAATTAAATTAAATTTCGGATTTTAGTACAAATAACTTTGTTTGTATCAAAATGGTCGATCCTCCCTTATATGTTCATATCAAAATGACTTGAAACCTTCTCCATTAATATAAAATGGTAGACACTATTAACTAACCAGAGTTAACAGTTCAGTGATTGAATTATAACAAATTAATATTACAAGTAACCTAAATGTAATTAAAAATAACAAATTGATAACGTAAGTGATCTGCGATCAATGTAAATCTTTGAATTTCAATGATCAAGATTAACAAAACTATAATAAAAGTAATAATACTTGTAGCTCACCCTATTTAGTTAGCAATAACACGACCCGATTATATCATATATTAATGAATATAAAAAATCATGATATAAATACGATAGAACACCTTTAATTTTGACCTCCAAATTTATCAATTTAATCGTTTTAGCCATTAAAGTTTTATTACACTTTTGACTCTCGAACTTTTATCTTTTTGTCAAATTAATCTGAACGTGAAAGAACATTAACAATAGTTAAACTGATGCAAGTTATAATATCATTTTGTCTCGTCATAAAAAAAATTTAAAAAAATTAAAAATATTAGAAATTTTTACACGAGTGAGTAGACCAGCCACTTGTAGGGAGTATAAATGATTTGAGCTTGAACTAACAAGGTTATGTTTATGTTCGTTTATGTATTTTTTAAGTTGTCCGTGTTTCGGCTCATGTTCGTTTAAATTTTTAATATCGTGTTCGTGTTGGTTTGTTTATTTTTGAAGGTGTTTGTTTTCGTTTATTTATTGTTCGCGAACACGTTCGTTTAATGTTAGCGAATGTGTTCGTATATATGATCAGGAACGTGTTTATTTAATGTTCATGAACATGTTTATTTAACGCTCGTTTAGTGTATTTAATATTCGTTTAGCGTTCACGAATATATTGATTTTAGTGTTCATTTAGTGTTTGTTTATCGTTCGTTTATATATTCAATTTAGTTTTACCAATTCATTTGCAAACTAAATAAAAATGAAAAAATTACGCCACTAGTGCTTAAACTCCTTAAAATTCACAATTTAAATTTCAACTTTTATCATGTGTTTAGTTTGATTTCTACCTTCACCAATATTTAAAATATAAAAAAATTAAAAGAAAAATGATAACTAGGTAAACGAGTTTATTCATGAACATAAATGAATGAGTCGATAAATGAACTTGTTCGTAAACGTAAACGAACTGAACACACCTTTGTCCGTGTTCGATCGTTTATTAGTTGAACATAAAAAATTTTGTTCATCCTTATTTACGAATGAACATGAACGAATGTTGTACGAATAATTCACTAATAGTGCACCAAATACACTGTTCATTTACAGTCCTACGAGTGAGAGAGTAAATGTGGTGGTTTAGTTTAGTTAAACAACCGTAAACCCTAAATCATTTAAATACACTTTCTCCAGCTTTCCAGCTCTAGCTCTCTCTTACTCTTCCGATCTTATTTTTTATTTTAATTTCCCAATCTTCCTATTTTTCCCATATTTCGGAACCCTAAGTTGTCATCTGATTAAGCTGAAATTCAGATTTACATTTTTTTTGTAAAAATCATCTTATTAAAAAACTAATATGGATCTTCCAAGTCTAGTTGATGTTCTTCAAGCTGCTCTTAATTCTAATCCAGCTGAACGCAAAGCTGCCGAGCAAAGCCTTAATCAGGTTTTTTTTTATTAATTTGATTTTGATTCTGTGCTTACAGATGAAAAGATTGGTTATTCAAAGAAAAATGGATTTTGTTTGGTTTCAGTTTCAGTATACGCCACAGCATTTGGTGAGACTGTTACAGATCATCGTTGACAATAATTATGATATGGCGGTTCGTCAAGTTGCTTCAATTCATTTCAAGAACTTCATTGCTAAGAATTGGGCTCCTCTTGATCCAAGTATCAAAATTTCTAATCAAATCTCATCAACTTTCCCCCCGAGAAAATACTTCACGATATTATGTTTGTGAATATGAATAGTATATTCATTTTGTTCTTAATAATTGTAGATAAGCCACAGAAAATTTTGCAAAGCGATAAAGATATGGTTCGCGATCACATTCTTGTATTCGTAACTCAAGTTCCTCCTTTGTTGAGGTACACCATTTTATTGTCCCCATTTGTTGATGGTTTGTTTAGAACCTTTTTACTGTTTTATTGGCAGTGCATGATGTTGTAGATTATGCGATCAAGTTCCTCTATGCATCAATAATTCATCAAATTCGGTATTATTGCAGGGTGCAGTTGGTGAATGCCTCAAAACCATTATACATGCTGATTACCCGGAGCAGTGGCCTCGGCTTCTAGACTGGGTGAAACATAATCTACAAGATCAGCAGGTTTATGGGGCTTTGTTCGTCTACGCATTCTTGCTAGAAATAATGAGTATATACTATATTTTTCTACATTTAGCCGCCTGATTTTTGTCGTCAGTTATTATCTTTGTATCTCTGCTATCTTTAATTTTAATGTGACTTGCTTGCTGAAGTGATGGGAAGTATTTGATTAATTCAATTAGAATCTTTCCTTGGCGTTTTTTCTTGACTTCAGTACATGGGATAACATCATTTTCCACTTAGGATAGCTGGTGTTTTAATTAAATAACAGCTCAGTTTTCATTGTTTTTCTTAATTTGGTGCATAGTATACTTGTGTTTCTGTTTGAATTACATTTAAATACTAATTTCATCATTTTCTTTATCATTCTAGGTTCAAGTCAGAGGAGGAGAGAACCAGTTCACCACATTGTCAAGGAGACATTTCCTCATCTTCTCAATTCAACAGACTTGTTCAGATAGACAAACCGGCTCTGGAAGTAGCAGATCTCATCAAAGTTATTTGTAAAATTTTCTGGTCATCTATCTATGTAAGTTTTTAAACCGCCAGTTTTTTACATGTATCTGACTTTCTTTTGTATTTTTTAATATGTTCTCTTTCTCTGTTAATTTCCTTCTTAGATGATCTTTTTGGCATATTTATGAAAGGAAGTTGTTATTTGAAATTATGCCTATTATCATTTGCAATCAAAATGATTTTCAAATCGGATTTTTGATCTTATATAGTGCTATTTTTGTTCTTTATGATCAATAAAATAATTGGAAGTTGGCCAGATGCAAATGCTATCAATCTAATTCTAGTGGCCTAACAATTCTATAGAAGTCAAGGAGTGTTTTTTTTAATTGGAGTTTTGAGCTTAAAGAAAAATCATGTACCAAATATATGACCAAAACCACTCATACTAGAGTGTTTTATGTCAACTGCAACTAGCGTTCTTGTGACCGTTTTTGAGCTTGAAGAAAAATCATGTGCCAATATATGACCAAAACCACTCATACAGAGTGTTTATGTCAACTGCAACTGCAACTAGCTTCTTGTGACCTGTTTTTGTAAGATTTGGTCTATTCACAAGGCGTCTTTGGATTGTTGTCTTACTCCGCAGTTGGAGATTCCAAAGCAGTTACTTGATCCAACGTGTTCAATGCTTGGATGATGCTTTTCTTAAATATGTTGGAGAGGCCAGTACCTCTGGAAGGCCAACCCGTAGATCCTGAGCTCAGGAAATC